ACCAGGAATCCTTCCATCCCTACTCCCAAGCACTGAGGTTACAGTTGTGTACTGCTATGCCTAGCTTTTTTATGTGGCTGACAAGGATCACAGTCTGGGCTTCGTGCCTGTATTGTAAGCCCTTTACAAGCTGAGCCATACCCCTACCCCAAATTTTTATTTTTGAACTGGAGTCTCAGGTAGGCCTTGAACTTCTGTGATGCTAAGACTGGCATTGAACTCCTGACTCTTTAGCCTCCACCTTCCTAGACAACAAATCTTTTAATTAAGATTTTTTCAAGCCTCTTTCAGATTGAATATTCTCTTTGTTCAGTCTGGTTCAGGAGTGACCAATCTTTTGACATCATGACATGATCTTGTCATCTACAGATGTATTGGACCACACTCTCAGCTATCCTGGGATGCTGTGCTTTGGACTCACTTACCTTGATCTTCTCCAATTGTGAAAAGTCTGTCCTTCTGTCCCTCTGCCATCATTGAGAACCTCCAATCACTGTGACCAGCCCAGTGGTTTATCCTCTTGTCTAGAGACCCACACATCACTCAAAGAGCCAATGCCATAGAAATACCTCTGATTTCTGCACTGGCAAACTCACAGTTAAACAAGACAGACACCTAAGTCTTTAGTTGACTTCTGCCATCATGACCCAGGCTGAGGAGCAGGCCTACTTTAGGTAGAAAAATGCTGGTGTGACCAGACAGCGTCCTGCCACAAGGAGGGAAACTTTCACACACTAAATGCAGAAGCTATTTCAGAGTCTGACTCTTGGAAGATTTCAAGTTCCACGAATCTGTGCCTTTGGTTTTCCTTGGTTTACTGATAACACTGCCCACCAGGGGACCAAAAAAAGTCCAGGTTTATCGTGTGAATCATGGAGAGAAGTCAGGGTGTTGCTGGTAGTTTCTGTTCAATAAACTGGTAACAGTTATGGACTCTTGGGTGCAGGATGGGAAGAGACTCGGGGCCATATGTGTATCCAACACTGGGGCTCCTCTACAGCACTCCTCAACCTCTGCCTCCCTGGCTTTGCTTAGTGTCACACAACTGCCCACTGTATTTCCAGCCCCTCTGCTTCTGCCATCTCCTGACTACTGACCCCAGACTTTTCCCCCTCCTACTATGGTGTTTATTCTTCCTTTAGTAACATTAAGTACTTAAGTAACATTAAGATACTGCAGGTCTTTTTCAGATTGAACATCTTTTTTTTTTTTTAAATCTTGGCTGCTCTCCAGAGAAGAATTCTTTACAGCTTGAGGGCTGACCTGAGTCCATGTCATAGTGTAAGTGATGTGGAAAGAAGAACTGGGAACTTCACCTTACTTCACCTTTCCTATTTAGGTCACTGTTAGTAGGGAGAACTGGGCACAATGGTACGCCTCTATCATTCCAATACCGAGGACACTGAGGCAGGAGGATTGCTGAAAATTTAAGGCTAGCCTGGACTACATAGCAAAATCCTGTCTCGACAACCACAGAAAGGGAGGAAGGAAAGAGAAGAGAAAGAAGAAGAAGCAGACTCAGAGGAGGAAGAGTAGGAGGAGGAGGAGAAGGAGGAGGAGGAGGAGGAGGGACAGGAGGAAGAGGAGGAGGAGGAGGAAGAGGAGGAGGAGGAAGAAGAGGAGAGACAGAGGAATATACTTAGGTCCCACCTGTTTTTGAGGCCTGCTTCTTTTAACTCAGTATATCGCCCTCTTCCTGCTTGAGAATGGCCAACTTTGAGCACTTCCTCTATCTAGGAAGCTCTGTACGCTGAGATCTAAAGCAAGCCTCCTCGGTGGCCCCAATCCCCAGCAGCAGAGCTCTGCTCACTCCTTCCAACATACCCGTAGCTTTCTTAAGCTCTAGTGATGATCATATGCATAGCATGTGTTGAATTTCCAAACTAAGGAACCCCGACCTGACCAGAACATTGATCACAGTTACATTTCCCCCACTTGAGACAAGGTCTCATTATGTAGCCCAGGCTGGCTTATAACTAACTCACTATATAGACCAGGCTGGTCTTGAACTCACAGAGATTCACCTGCCTCTGCCTCTTGAGTGCTGGAATTAAAGGTGTTGCCACCACCAAGGCCACCTCTAGTTGCTTTTCATGATCTGTGTCTCATCTGTTATTTTGAGCCGAATTAAAATAGAACTGACTGAATTCACTGTAAACAGTTTGAGATTACTCAAATCATTTGGAACTTGTTCAAAGAAGTCAAAGAAGGCAGAGTTCATTCAGGAACTACTGATACCCAAGAGAAAATAGGGTTTAAAAGATGAGTCTCAGAGCTGGGCAGTGCTGGCATACACCTTTAATTTTAGCACACGGGAGGCAGAGGCAGGCAGATCTTTGAGTTCAAGGCCAGCCTGGTCTACAAAGCAACTTTCAGCACAGCCAGGTGTACACAGAGAAACTGTTTGATAAAATATAAAAAAGCGACTATGCTCAGGAGACTCTGGTTGTTTATCACCATGTCTTCACTACTGACAAGAGATGGATGTGTGGATTAACTGTTTCAAATGTCTTTTTCTTTGTATAGGAGGCCCTGATCTAGAACCCCTTGGTGGTGCTGTCTGGGTTTCTAATCCAATTCCAAGAAAACAAACAAACAAACAAACAACCTAGGCTGGCCTTGAACTCTTGGCATCACTCAGAATGACTTTAAATTCCTGATCCTTCCAGCTCCCAAATGCTGAGATTACAGGCTGATGACCAACCTGCTTCCATTTAAAAGGATGGAACGTAACCATGAGGTAATGGCGGAAAACTACCCATCATCATTCAAATATTAGTAATACTATTGAGTTTTAATTTATTCCCCTTTTCAATAAATATTTAGTTCTTAACTTTAATTATATGTATGGATGTACTATCTGTGTGTGAGTGAGGTGTCCTTGGGTACCAGAAGAGGGCATCAGATCCCCTGCAGTTATGAGTAATTGTGAGCCTGTACTGAGATCTGAACTAGGGTCCCCTACAAGAGAAGTGTGAGCTCTTAATTGCTGAGCCATCTCTCCAATGCTATAATGCCTGTATGTATGTATGTATGTATGTATGTATGTACAGAATCTCCCTGTAGTCCTGAATGGCCAGTTGCTCATTATGTAGACTGGGCTGTCCTCAAACATAAAGAGCTCTGCCTGCCTGTCTTAGGGTTTTACTGCTGTGAACAGACACCATGACCAAGGCAACTCTTATAAAGGACAACATTTAATTGGGGCTGGCTTACAGGTAAGAGATTTGTTCCAGTATCATCAAGGCAAGAGCACGGCAGCATCCCGGCAGGCGTGGTGCAGGCAGAGCTGAGAGTTTAATATCTTCATCTGAAGGCTGCTAGTGGAAGACTGACTTCCAGGCAGCTAAGGTAAGGGTTTCAAAGCCCACACCCACAGTGACACACCTACTCCAACAAGGCCACACCTCCTAATAGTGTCACTCCCTGGGCTAAGCACATAGAAACCATCACACTGCTATTGTTTCCCAAATGCTGGGATTAATGATGTGTGTCCCCTCTCCCGCTCCATAATGGTGTTATTTCAAAATAGGTGTTAGGTTTAATTTGTTTTCCCTTTCCATAATTAGTGTTTGCTCAGTCTTGTGTCAAGAGAAAACACACATCTGGGTCTTTGGTCCTGAAGCTGGGTAGATCAGCAAAACCAAACCACACAAGCAAACTTTCACCTTGACTCTGCTAATCCACTTTCCCATCAGCTATAAAACCATCTTGAGCCCTATCTCCCAGTCTGTGAGTAGAATTTCTGTAATTTTTCAAAGAACTTTAATAGCAATGTAATATACATACAAAATGGACCATACTCAGCTCTTTAAAAGGGGGAGTCCAGTCATTCATAGCTACATGTATGAATGAGGAAGACGTCGTGCAAAGTGAACAAAGCCACACACTGAAAGGCAAAACGCTATATGATTTCACAGATGTGTGGACCCTAAACAAAGCAACAACGACAGAAAAGGGAGTTGACAGGAGAGAGGACTGTGGGGAGGGAATAGAGAACGGCTGATCAAAGGGTATAAAATCCTAGACAGAGGATTAGGTCAGAGAGGACCACACAGCAGGGTGACTGCATGTCACTAAGACAACAATTTTCAAAAGACCCCCCCCCAATGACAGGCAAGCAAGGTATGCTAAGTAGCTTATCATTTATTCCATCCTGTTTGCTAGTATCAAAGCACACTGTACTCATCATGGTTTGCAAATAAAACTAGTAATTTAAAAAAAATCAACAAATAAACATTCCACACTCAAAAGCTAACACTTGAAACTGCTAAGATTTTTTAAAATTATTTTATTTATTTTATGTTTATGAGTATACTGTAGCTGTCTTTAGACACACCAGAAGAGGGCATCAGATCCCATTACAGATGGTTGTCAGCCACCACGTGGTTGCTGGGAATTGAACTTGGGATCTTTAGAGAAGAGCAGTCAGTGCTCTTAAGTGCTGAACCATCTCTCCAGCCCAAGAAGCTTGTTATGTCAAATTATTATTATTATTATTATTATTATTATTATTTATTATTATTACTAACCACTGGGCACAGTGGCACATGTCATTAATCTCAGCACTCAGGAGGCAGAGGGAGGTGGATCTCCAAGTTGGAGGCCAGATTATTTTACAGAGTGCATTCCAGAACAGGACAGCCAGAGCTGTACAGAGAACTTCTGTCTTGAAAAAATAAAAACTACCATTTTTTTTTTTTAAAGAAGACTTATTTTATTTATATGAGTACACTGTAGCTGTCTTCAGACACACCAGAAGAGGGCATCGGATCCAATTACAGATGGTTATGAGCCACCATGTGGTTGCTGGGAATTGAACTCAGGGCCTTTGGAAGAGCAATCAGTGCTCTTAACCGCTGAGCTATCTCTCCAGCCCAAAACTACCATCTTTTGAGAAGCCTACTTAGCATCGATCATGTCATATACATTAATGAAAATGAAGACAGTGGCTCATGTGAAATCACTGTAATTGCAGATACCCAGGAAGTCACGACAGCTCAGGAGTTCCAGGATAGCCTGGACTGGGCATAGCAAGACAAAGTCTCTTCAAAACAACAACAACAACAAATAAACACTATTAAGACAAAGATGACGGTGTGAGATGTGAGAGAAATAAAATATACATACCAGGAATCCTATTGAGTGTCACCCAGAAGTGTTCATCAGGACTGTAGGTGTCCTTGGACCAGGAGATTAAGTCCAGTGAACGCTGGTCTTTGAGGACAAAGTTAGCAAACTCTCGAGTGAGGGTCACATATGCAGTGCCAAAGTAAATGGTCAGATTGTGAGGAGGAGGGGCTTTTAATCTTCCTGTATTGTGCACGTAGGGATTTTTAAGGTCTATCAGCTCCCGGTGAACATACTTGGTCCTTCCAACTGCGTGAGCGGGAGGCAGCACCCCTGGGGTGAGATTCTTCCCAATAAACCCTTTCAGGTACTGAACTATTTCTTTGTTGGTTTTCAGAGGAAAGTCCTGCCCGCAGGTGTTGATGACATATTTCCAGCGGACCTTGGAGGCCACCAGGTCTTTCATGCAGTTCAGGTCAGCCTGGAGCCGGGAGAAGCCACCATAGACCACCAGCTCCATCCTAGAGGCCAGGAAGGCATTGGGGAAACAGTTTACTAACCGACGCACTGCTTCTTTGAAGGTCTCTGTTGCCTTACTATCCACGTGCACACAATAGATGTTCTGGGGCATGTAAATGGCCCTGAAGAGTCTCTCAAAAGTGTCATAATCTTTGTGGACAGTAAGTGTAAAAGCCAGAGGGAATTGGGCTTCTTCTTCAGAGAGAGTCTCTGTTATGTAGTGATTTTGAACCTTGTACTCGGAACAGGTGAAGGTTTCTAGGGTAGTTTTCCGTGCACTGTCCTCCGTATAAAACTTCTCCCCACTGAACATATGAAAACAGACTTCTGCTAAGACCGAAATATTGGAAACCGCCCTTGGGAAAGGATTGTTCGCCCATAACTTGCTATTGTAAATAAACATAAGCGTCAAGGCAGCAATTAGAGATAGGCTGAAAAGACTGTACTTCCAAGAGCCCATCTTCCAAAAGCAGGAAATGAGCAAAGCGTCTTGAGAGACAGAATTGGAGCAAAGCTTCCTTTAACTTACTTTTTCCCCAAGTCCTAGGATCATCCTGCACAGATATGGGTCTGATCCCACACGGATGTGGTCCTGATGAGTACAGTTCTCGGTTCTTTCTTCTCTCCCTTTCCTCTTCTTAGCTTGCTTATAGCGTCACTTTTCATTGACAGACTTCTGAAGCTGCTCCATTGCCCAGCCTCCAAGTAACTTACAACCAATTACTACACAAAAATTCCCCTCCCCAGGGAGGTTCCAGGAGGCAATGACCCTACCTGTCCTCAAATGGAAATCACTATCAGTGACCTTCGGGCAAGGCATCTCTCTGGAACTCGGAACTAAACCTCTTCTCCCAGTGGCAGGCAGTTAAATGTGCCTGCTCCCCCGGCTTCCTGTTAATCATTGCATTCGAATGACTCGGTGTGTTTGCTTAACCAGCTCTGCCCAGCTAAAAGCTTCAATTCGGAGCATGTGAATACTGCCTGGAGAGACTCTGTCAATAAAAAATGTCGTGCTTGACAATAAATTGCTTAACCTGGCCTTTTTCCACCCATACTCCCCGCCCCTTTTTGTACCAGCTGGGGATGCTTTAAAGCAAGGCGGATGACTAACTGTTGTGCCAAATTCTTTCCAGGGCTTAATTTTCTGTGCTGCTAGGAAAGTCCTTAAAAAGGCATATTAACTACTATGAGGACATGACTATTTGACTCCCTAGATGAAGCAACCGAAACACTCGGAGTAAAGGCTAATTGTTTAAAATAAAAATATCCCAAAGGATCAGCAGCTTCCCGTCAACCCCAAATTCCATGGGGGGCCACAGTTACTAAATGTCAAGTTTGTTTCATGTTTTCCCCACTTAGGATACAGGCAGAGTACTGTGACGCCAGAGAAGTAAGAGAGAGGAGACAAATCGGTTAAATGTTAGACACAAACTCCCAGAATCGGAATCTTCAGTCACTTATTTATCGCCCAGGCTGACCTCTAATGACTGACCACAGTTGAGTTTTCTACCCTGGCCTCTTCGGTTTTGCTAGGGAAACTGAAGCTCCCTTTTGAGGTTCTTAGTCGCATTCATACACGAAATTAGAAATGGACTCAGAGTCGGATAGTACACACACCTTTAATCCCAGCACTTGGGAGGCAGAGGCCGGTGGATCTCTGTGAATTCAAGGCCAGTTTGATCTATAGAGAGAGTTCCAGGACAGCCAGGGCTCCAAAGAGGAACCCTGTCTTGAAAAACCAAATCAAAACAACAAACAAAAATGAAAGGGGGAGGAGGGAGAGGGGGAGGGGCAGAATGAGAGACCAGGACTACGTCATTGGTGTTTGAGAGAAGTACACAGCACAGGTCAGGTGAAAATCCTGGCAGCTGGGCGGGGTCATCTCACCTTTTAAATTAGACACAGGGTAGAAATAAAGGGATAAACGGGCAAGGCATGCTCCAAAATGTATGTATGCTAGGGGGCTGAGGAAAGACCCTCAGAGAATCCTGACTGGCAGGATTGTATAGCCCCTCCCTCCACGGGGCGGGAGGGGAGCTTGGTTGCTGTACATGCTCTATTCAGAAGATGAAGCCCGGGTAAGAAAGGGCGTCCAGCCCTCCTCTACAAAGTGGCTTTTTTCACATGTTAATCTTGATGGAGACCGGCTCAGCTCCTACTCTGTCCCAAAGTAGCAGGGACTACAAGTGTGTGTCACTATATCCAGTTCAGATTTGCAAACAGTTTAAAAGGTGTGTCTTTGTGTGTAAGAAGGACTTTTATCATCCTAGGTCAAACGTAAGAATAAACCTCAGACAATGAATAAAAGAATTCTTTACCAAATGAATTTGAGGCAGGAGAAGTGGCAGAGTACCAGAACAAACAAGAAACACACACACACACACACACACACACACACACACACAGCATAAGGCAGAAGGCAGAACTCCTAACAGCCCATACTTCCAGAAAATGACATGGTTACTGCCTCTTCATTTGAAATCCTTGCATTCACGCCAAGTATATATAGTACATGTTGGAATCCACTGATGTGTCCTGTATCATGTGGTACCCGGAGGCGTGTGGTGCGAAAGGGCATCTCTGATGACTTGTACTCATGTGCCCTCATCTGTCTGTATCCCTCAGCATCACTCGTACACAGCGATCAGACGGACACTGACCGAATGCCTCAGCTTCTGTGTCCCAGCTTCCCTGTTCACGTTGGTAGAGAATTTAGACAACGCTGATGTGTAAAACAGATATATGAGCCTGCGTGCTGCACTGAACATACCCGTTTTCCCACTGTATCTTAATAATAGGGCCAATATGCTATTGTAGGAGATAGTTCATATTTTGTACTTTGATTTCACCCCCTATTCACAGACATACACATTTTGATTAAAAATATAGGAGAATCCCCAGTGTAGCTCAGTGGTAAACCATTATTTAGTGTGTTGAAACCCATGGGTTCAATTCCCAATATTAAAAACAAAACAAAACAAAACACCAAGGGCTCTTGAGATGGCTCAGCGGGCAAAGGCGCTTGTTGCAAAGCCTGATGCCTGGCGTTCGATCCCTGGGACCCACGTGGTAGCAGGAGACAGCAGACTTCTGAAAGTTGTTCTTTCATCTGTGTATGCTGCCACACCGTGTGTGCACACACGGCTGATAGTAAACGAAACAAAAATAAAAGATAAAGAAATGCCAAAACAAACAGGAAGACAGGAGTTTATATCCTGTCAGTTAGGGAGATGCTGGTTCCTCCCCACCGTAGGGCTTCCTGTCACCGTTGCATGATCTCCCTTTTAGCACACGAGGCCAGCACCCCTGAAGCTTTGATTCCCCAACACAGCTGATCATGATTATGAGCTGGTTCCCAGCTCTGTGTCACGTGCACCGGAGGTCTCGGGAACGATCTATACAAATGGCCTGTGGGTAAATCCTTAGGACTCAGTCTCTTGCTACAGGAACTGGTTGTGCTGTGTGATTTAGCTGTAGATAGTCTTGTCTGTGTGACTCCAACGCAGATAGCTTCCCTTAAGGTGTCCATCCAGAACACTGTGGAGCATGTCACTTCCTCAATACAGGGGGCAAAAAAAAAAAAAGAACTTTCCTAAGAGGAAAACTATTTCTCTAATTTGCACTAATTTTTCAAATCCCTCCAGGTAGACATTGCACACCTCAAACGAACTTGTCTGTGGGGAAGAGTAAATGCAGATGTCAACGCCTAATTATGCTTGCCTGTACTGGTACAACCATTCCCACAGTCTCAGTCTCGTCTCCTAGTTTATCTAGATGATGACGTCAGCTTTGTACTCGGCCCTCCCCTTAATCTTAGCCTCTTGTACCCCTTGCAGATACTCCAGGAGCGAGGGCAGCTGGAGTCACCTCACCATTCCTAGATGCTGCCGCTCTCTGGCTTTGGTTATGAGGCACAGATGTAGTAGCTGGTGCTTGGTTGCAGCTAGACAGTTGCAGGATATTTGAACACACTGTGAATCCAGAGACAGCGTTATTTACTGGGGGAAAGAACCCTGGTTTTGGTTGGGGTGTGGCTCAGCCTTAGCACACACCTTTAATCTAGGAGCTCTTTGCTTGAATATTGTAAGCAGGATTAAATAAAGTCAATCATAGGTCAAGAGGCAGAGCAATTGACAGGAAGTGAGCATAAGATCATTAAGGAAAAAAAAAACAGAGAGAGTAAGGGAAAGTCAGGAGGATGGATAGAGAGACGAACAGGAAGTAGAAGGGAGAGACACTCTGTTTGACAAGGGTTTTTTTGAGACAGCTGAGAGACCGCCTGGCTTCTGGGATGTTGGTTGAGGAGGAAGGTCAGCTGGGTTCGTTCTTTGCTTCTGTGAGCTAGTGGGCTTTCACCCCAGCATCTGGCTCCTGAGCTTCCTTGGTAAAAATTGAACAGTTGTGATTTTGTTAAAATCAGCAATAGAGCCTTGTGCCTCACCTGAAATGCCACAAGGGCCCGTCTAGAAATGCCTGTGATTATTTACAGTATTATTTTGGATAACACTAGTCACTTTAAAAAGAATAAATATGGGCCAGGTGAGGAGACGGCTCAGCAGGAAAAGCACATGTCAACAAGCCTGACCCCCTGAGTTCCATTACTGGAACCCACACGGTAGAAGGAGAGAAGACACCACAGGCTGTCCTCCATATGCATACAGAGGTACATACGCATGCGCGCACGCACACATAGGGGTATATACGCATGCGCGCACGCACATACAGAGGTATATACACATGTGCGCACTCATACATAGATAATTAAAAATGAGCACGATTATATTTTCTTTTTTTAGATTTATTTTTACTTAATGTGCATAAGTGTTTTACCCACATTTATATATGTGTACCATGTGCACGCCTGGGTCTGGAGATCATCACAAGGGGCTGTTGGATTCCCTGAAACTGAAGTTACAAAGAGCTGTGAACCACCCTGTGAGTGGAGGCGACTGAAACCAAGTCCTCTGTGAGCACAAGGAAGTGCTGTTAGCCATCTCTGAAAGTCTCTTTCTGGAGCCTCTTCGCTGCCCCAGAGGCAGCTGTTCTATATCCTGAGTTCTGTGCTTGCCCAACAGGTGACTGATGAAGGACCCAAAGGAAAAAGAGAAGGCTCAGTCCAGCTTGGCTTTTAGCTCAAAGCTGACTATTGACATTCCAAATTCAGGAGGTGACCAGGGATAAAGAAATCAGGAACCAACGTAAACCTGCTGACCATTCAATTAATCCCAGGGTGTGTGTTTGTTTCAGAGGTCAATGGAACATATTTTGACCTCCTTAGGGCATACTCTCACTGAAGGTCATTAACCAGTTTTTATTACATCAAGTTAACTATACTGAGAACTGAATATACACCAGTGCCTGTGGAAAGGGATTTCTTCAGTCTCACCTATGCCACCCAACGTAGATTTCCCACAATTCATTTTGCCATGACATCACCTCTAGGCACAAAGTAGAAGCCAAGGAAGCTGGTGGGAAATTTTGAATCTAGGAAAGCCTGTTAAAAGCCTGGATCAAACTCATTTTTTAAAATATGAACTTCACGGGCATCTTGTTGGGTTCGTTTCCTGCTCTCCAGCCCCCACCCCCTTCTTTTTTTTTAAACTTACAGTTTTAATTTTTACTCTTGTTGAATTCGGAGTCCTGTTTCACTCTCCCGAGTGTCTACAGCCACAGGAAATAGCCTGAAGCACTTAAAATAGCCAGGAAGCCTGGTTAAAAAGTTCCCTGGATTGGGTGCAGGGAGGAGGCTCTCCGCAGGCTCTGAGTCTCTAAGTGTCACGTGTTCTCCTGCTTTCAGCTCCCGCTGGGTGTAATTTGAGAAGACAATCTCCTCCCCAACGCCTCTACCTCAGTCTGGAGAGAACTACCATAAACAACCTC